TTACATTGAGAGGTCATAAAGCTTGGTTACACGCATATTGATTTCCTGTGGTCTTTGTTTGACCTCTGATGCAGAGTTTTAGCATTTTCTTTGATCTCTTTTAAAGCGTTATTATAGCTTTTTATTGCGGCTTAATAACGCTTACATAAAGGTTTTAGTTTTAGTTTCTTTAGATTTCTTCGAAATGTCTGCATGGGAATACTACAACACCTTGGTGTCCGTGTGTATGATAAAATCCGTAATAACTTTTGTCACGATAGGCCTAGTAAATCCCGGGGGGGGGGTGTACTTTAGGACTTTTTGAGTGGGGATATGCCGCTGGGACCCTGGAACCCTTAGCCCATACCAGAGCTAGTTCAAGTGAATTTTGCTACCCTATACTAGACTTAACTCCCCAAACCCCCCCATCCTAGGGTAGCTGTTTTCCAGAAACAACTGAGATCACTAGCACAGTCCCGCTAAAACAAAACTGATTTGATTTTTTTTGATATTCTTGAGTGGCAATTCCCAGTTTCCCTAGTCTAGACTAAAATCTTGAGCCAATTGATCAGTTTAAATGGAAGATGATACCCTCTTCTAGACCCAAACTCTCTGATTTATATACCCTATCCCAGAGTAAACTGCTTGAAAACCATACCCTTCACAGCAGTACATACCTATATAGCCCATATATGGCAGTACCTGCCCCGGGCAGAAAATTGATCCATGGCTTCGCCGCAACCGAAATCCTCGCTAAAGGATATCAAAATTATATTCCTCTTCCTGTAAACAGTTCATCCCTACCAGTAATAAAATATAATTACACTTTTGTCTTCACAAAGTTGGGTCAGGGTGAAATAATTCTGCGTGGATAGTACGGAGATCAAAGTATCTCAAATACTCGCCGACCATTTTGCCACCATCGCTGATGTCGAGCTTACTGATATAAAAGACTTCATCGATCACCCGAGTGTACAATTGATAGTGAAAAACGAAGAGAATTCACCTGAGGCGTTTGTCTTTGAACTGGTAAATGAGACAGAAGTAAGAACTGTGTTAGAATCATTAGATGTTAAAAACGCCACCGGTGGTGATGGCACCCCGACTAGGGTGCTGAAGATCAGTGCTAAAGAAACGGCCCTACCCCTTTGCACCCTTTTCAACTCGTGCATTAAAAAGGGTACATGGCCCAAGGACTGGAAGGGGGTGGGGGTGGGGGTGATTGGGATTCAGTTTTTAAAAAAAGGAGACAGACAGGCACGGAAGAATTATAGGCCTATAAGGGTACTGTCTTGCCTAAACAAAGCATTTGAGCGTCTGCTGTCTTACTGCCTATCGCAGACACCCTCATTGGCCTTGTGGAGTACTGGAAACGTGCCAAGGACAACCAGTTATCTGTCAGTATCTTCTCAACGGACATGTCGAAAGCTTTTGACTCTCTGCATCCACCACTCATGTTATGCAAGCTATGGTTTCCGAAACAAGGCGGTCGACATGCTTCTGAGTTACTTGTACGATCGCCAAAGTCGTGTACGAATCGGGACGGTAGGAATCTCTTGGAGGCCAGTAAATCGTGGCTGTCCTCTGGGGTTAGTCTTAGGACCGCTTCTCTGTAGACAAGGGTTTTGAAAACTATGTTTGCAGATGACTATCAAATTTTCGAGATAGGCAAAGAAACGTGCACTGTAGTGTCCCAACTACAGTAGGACTCAACCTTAGAAACCAACTAGTATGATTCGAATCTACTTCCGGTCAACCTTCAGAAGTATCAGATGATAAATATACGTAGCAAACGCGCAAGTAATAAGCAAACGGTATAACTGTTAAGGTAGCCTGCGTAGCATGGCGGTTTTGGTTGGGCGCGCTAAGCAATAAAGGCGGGCGAGGGCAGAGAAACCGCGAGGAGATTGGGGCGGAAGCAAGTGGTTTTTATTTTTCTCGGGGCTTCGCCGCTCGTTCTCGGGCGCTTCGCGCGCGAATTTCGCGGCTACGCCGCTCCTACGCCCGGCTCGACAAAACCGCCATGCTACGCAGGCTACTGTTAAGGGCGAGATTGTTAATGAGTCTGAAAATCTAAAACTCCCAGGCGTAACTATTGATAGTAGACTCAACTTTAACGAACACATCAATAGCTTAAAACAATATCAACAATCTTTTATTTACTCACACTTAGAATTATTACAAGAATAATGTTATATACATTACAAATTAACAATGGGATAAGAAGGAATAGTATTAGGTATTTGGAGCCTTAAGGCTATTCAGGTTACTTTCGAGTACTGTTCTGACAGCAAATAACGTTTTATTTTTTTGGAAAAGGAAAATGTAGTGAGGTCTTTCACGTGATGAGGAACATCTCGCCAGAGATCAATTGCTTTGTTTGCCCATGTTGGTTGCATAGATGCGTCTCTTGTGTTGTATGTATGCCTGCCACTGGCATATTGAAAAAGACTATCAAACACGTTTGGCGGAAGCCACAGATGAGTAAATTTTAAAGTGTGGAAACGGTAGACATTATTTACTGTTAGAACGTCTAAAAGATTTAGGTAAGGAAGAGCGCTTTCTGTGAAAGGTCCAGATGTAGTTGCAAAAAACATTAATCGTATAGGACTGTATTTTGCTTGGTTTGCATTTTTGTAGGTGCGTTTATAAGCACTGCCCCAAGCTATTGCAGCATATGTGAATAGGGGTATACAAGGCTAAAATAGATTTGTTTGAGTTGATAAGTACAAAGATAGTGCCTTAGTTTTGAAACTATGCCAGTATTACGTGAGATACGCGAGCAAATATAAGAGATGTGATATTTCCAACTTAATGAGTTATCGATCATAACACCCAGATATTTAATCATGATGATCTTTTTGTTCTAACAGGTGGAACAAACCATCTATGTTTTGCAATTTTATTTGTATTCCTCCAGATGGTTATCTTGATGATTTGATAATCATATAATTGGTTTTGGTATAATTCTTAGAACGTTTGTTAACACAGCACCATTCCTCGACTTTCACTAATTCAGAGTTCATTAATATGTCGAGAGGTTTCAAGTCAAGAGCAAAGGCAAACAGATTTGTATCGTCAGCAAAAATCCTAAAAGACAAGGACAATGAGCAGTTAGGTAGATCATTAACATAAAGTAAGTAAAGTAACTGCCCTAGTGTACTGTCTTGTGGAATTCCGCAAGTCATCTTTTGTCTTGGTGACTCTGTATCATCTACTGCTGCGTACTGCTTCCTGTTCTCAAGGTAACTTGTAAACCATTTTAAGGGAATCCCTCTTATTCCATATGAATTTCACTAACAATATTTGGTGATTCACGGTGTCAAATGCTTTCGAAAAGCCTATAAATACTCCAAAAGTATATTTATTATTGTCTATTGCTTTTCTTAGACTGCCCGCAATTTCGCAAGAAAGTAAGGCAGAGGACCAGTGCGCTGGGTAAGGAATCTGATACCTACTATGGCTAAGATACTTAAGCAATAAACCACAGTTTCTATGGGTTTTGCCGGCGTTCATCACGCCGATAAACCCGTAGAAAGTGTGGTCTATTGCTTTTTAAATAACTCTAAGAGTTTTCTATGAGTTTACCGGGACAATAAACCATAGATTTTAACCACTTAGAACGCGCGTACTCTCTTTGTTATTTTATGAAACTCTATAAATCGGCAATTCTTCCCCAGCTCACTTACTGCCATTTAGTATGGCACTTTTAACATTCGTAGTTTAGAGAGGCTACAAGAACGGGCTTCAGTTTGCGGGCTGTCTTTAGGAACACACATTTTGATTACCAATGCCTTCTAATGTACAGAGCGAGACATAACGTCATGTCCAAGACCATTTTATAATCTATTTCAGCCTAGTAACCATACTTATCAGCTGAGACAAACTGACTTTGCATTACACAGATTCAAAAAATCCTACTTATGGCAAACATTCCTTAAGATACCTTGGTCCCAAACTGTTGCATAACTTATCCAGAAAGGAAAGACTTGCAAGCACTCTTAACTATGATACCTTGAAATCGCAAATAAGAAAGCTTGACGTATCGAGCCTCTTAAAAGATTGGGTTGCACAGGCTTCTATCTATGCAATTCCTAAATTTCCGGTTTATACAACTGTTTTCATCGCAAAGACATTTGTCCTCACCCTTTTGTCATTGTTGCTGTATTTTGTAGATATATATGATGTAACGCTTGTTCTCGGTTGCCCCGTGTTCAAATCCTCGGCCACGCTTGTAAATAGCCAACTGGTTGCCTCCTGCCAGTTGGGGTTTTAAACCTGTTATGTTGTATTTGAATTCTTTGTTTCTAAGTATTTGCGTGGAGTGTCTGTAAACTAGCTGGATAAGCTAAGTGCACTTTCCACTATAAACAAGGCTTTTTTAAAATCTTTTGTACATGTTCACTTTTAGATTATTGTTTAGCTTCATATAGATTTGGTCAGTTTCATACATTTTTATGCTTAGTTAGGTGCTCGCTATAAGCTGACGGTTCCCCTCTGCTATATATTTTATTGACACTTTAATAAAGGTTATTCATTCATTCAAATTTATTGTCATTGTAGTTTACTAGATTATTTAGTAATAGTGTAACTCTAGGTCTCAAATTTCGTCTTCTTATGATGCAGGTCCTTGATCATCAACTAGTCCAGTAGGGATAAAGATGGCATTTACAGAGCATGAGGAAAAAGTTTCAGAATTTTATTCCCGTGTAGTGGATAACAACCATGACTGGAACGACGGATTTCTTACATTTGGAGTATGGAAAACGAAATCCGGTGATCCTATACCACACCCTTTGTGTTACGGAGCAGTGTATGATGAGCTTTTAGAAGGTAGCACGATACAGGGACTAGTGTCGCACGACCTACAACGAACACCCGTCCCTCGACCGTACAATGCTTAGTTTAGGGTCTTACCGACGTTGTAGGTTCCAGACCTGTAGTCGCGACGTTTGCACCTTTATCGCTTCGGAAGACTGCGTGATACTGGAATTACTGTAACACGCGGTAGCGGAACGCAGATGCCCTATGAGGAAAATTCTTTCGATTCTGTTATTTGTGTGGAAGGAGAACCACACATGAATAGCAGACAAGATTTTTTTCGAGAAGCTTTTCGAGTTCTAAAGCCAGGCGGAAAGTTATTCATGGCTGATCTTGTGATTCTTAAGGCTATACAGGATTTGAGTTACTTTCATCAGATTATTTGGAAAACCGCAGCGAAGTTATGGGTGGTTCCTCACAGTAATATGTCTTACGGAATCGATGATTACAAACAGAAGTTGAAAGACATTGGGTTTAAGTTGACAAAGTTTGAATTCTTAGGTGACAGAGTATTACCAGGTTATTGTAATTTTAATCTATCGTTATCTGTTATGCGCGAACAAGCAAAGGTAAGAGGTCCGTTTGTCGGTTACGTGGGAGGTCCAATGATTGATATTATCCTTAAAATGGCTTTCTCCAATAAAATAATTGAATACATCTTTGTTGTGGCCGAGAAATAAGTTATCAAATAAACGGTCGCAGTACCACAGGCACACCATCCTCTGTTTGTGTTTTGGACTGCGATGTACGTGAAAGGGGTTGCATTTATTTATATATATTTTTTAGTTAGGGGGATTAGAGGTGACATTTGTAATATCGAACTTTTGCGACCTCAAAATTAAAACAACAAACAAATCACAACTTCGGCATCGAGTTTTATAATGCTCTCGAACGCATAACGCTAACCGCTTGTTAGCGCATTTAGGAAAACGTATTAATAAGTTAATCAAGTAATTGGCCGTCGTATAAAATGCAGTCGCGAAACTCAAATGTAAAATGATGAGCCTGTGGTGAGACTCTTGTAATCATAATCATTTCCATAATCATAGTCATTACCACTTGCGCTGGAAGGCTTTTTAAGGCTAACTTAAGGGAATAACACTCGTCATTATTTAAGTGAAAGAAAAATAGTTATAATAGCGTTTTGTGGTACATAAAATTCAACCTCATTTACCGAATATATTATAAAATCAAGATACAAACTTTAGGGGTAGATTTTTATTGAGTGTATAGGCAACTAGAATGTAACGAAAGATATGTACTTTTATCTTTTGGCAATAAAGACTATTATTATTATTATAAACTGAAAAGACTGTATCTTTTGGCTCTACTTACACTTGTTTTTGCTCGTTCATACAGGAACGTTTTCATAGTTTTTAAGTAATCTTCATGCTTTTTCCAAGTAACGTCACAAGATTTCTTCTAAGAATTTTAAAACTCCTGGCCCTTTTGGTCTGTAAAAGTCAGTACGTTTTTGCAATTAATTTGAAAAAGGTGATCACTATTGATTGACCATTCCGTTATGTGTTCTTCACAATATACTGAATTGCTTTTTATCAAAGCACATTTGAGTGACATTTTACAAATTCACAAGTGTATGCAAATAATAAAAGATATACTGCTCATCAGGGTTTGTTTAAGGTAGGGTTAGTTTATTATGAGAATCGTGATAGTTATTGATCATGAATTTTCCACTGGTTACTGTTATCTTCATACCAGTGTGTAGTTGTGTGATTATATACCAAAGTGTTAATAAACCGGTGTTATTTCATTTTCTTGTGCTACTTGATAATAGAGAATAGGGAGCTTAAGCAACTACGACGACGACCACAACGACGACTTCAAAAAAACAATAGGTTTAATGATTAAAACAACAGCTCTTCACTTGCATCACACTTTTTAGTGCATTTCTGTGACATCCACTATACGACTACGACGTGAAACCTCCTAATTTGACGTTTTATGGAGGACGTGGACATACGCCGACAAATTTACTTACTCTTTTTGAACTTGAATAAAATCCTTAAGAATTCAACTCCAGGAAAAGTCTTCTGCATTTATACATATAATATTGAGCGGGTCCAAATAGACGCAATTAAGTTTGAAAGAACGCAAATCAATTTTTTTGGCCGACGTTTTCACTACCGTCGTTGTCCTTGCTTAAGGTCCCTAATGTTAATAGCATTGACAACGAGTGCGACGCGATAACGGGTTACCCATCGAGCACACTGCACAGTCATCAAGTTTGTGAAGCCGCAAATGCTCCAATCGTTCTGCTGTTCTGCCTAGGACGGGTTTTCATCGAAAAGTCGATGTGGCGGAAGCGAGTTTGTTGAAGGTAAACATGGTAAAGAACTATTCATTGCCGTGGTGCAAATTCAACACACCACTGTTATTACACCGTGGCCTCGGCTGACTCAAAGTTTGACGATTTGTCAGATGCAGACATTGATTCTCTTATTGATGGCCGCTCTTATTGGTGGCCGCCGTTCTGACTTCTGATTGGTGCCAGAAAACCAACAAGTTTTCTGGCACCAATCAGAAGTCAGAACGGCGGCGACCGTTTGGAACCGGTCTGGTAAGACATTGTCCCCAGGGTCTCTTCTCGCCGTTCTTTACTTTTCTTCTTGCCATATTTTTCCGCTCGTTTAGACTTTCCCTCGCCCCCACTATCTGCCCCTGGGTCTCCGAGGATGTGTTGAGTTATGCTGCGTACTCGTTTCGTATGAACGGATTTAGGACGGACTATACTTATTATCGTAAGTTTGTTAGCTTCGGTTACATTTTAGCTTATTGTTCTTGTTATTTAGTGTACCTTTACTGTATTATATTTTGTAGAACTGTTTCATCGTTGTAATTAAAGCAAGTAGACAGTCGAGGAGTTCGCTTCATAAAACAGTTGACTCCCTAGTCATGGTAGTCATCGAGTGCTCCGTGCCCAACTGCACTTTTAAAACAAACGTCTCCGAAGCATTGGCCATCGCCCTTATAACTAACCACGACCTGGCCCACCGACCTTCGGCGCCTCTCGACACAGATGCCAACCCAGCACTCACAACTACCCGAGGCCCAAAACTCGAGGGGCCCGAGATCGACATGCGGTAACAATAGAGGAGTGGAACGTCTTCACGAGGCGCTGGGGGCTGGACAGGCTCGGGGATCGGCGACGCCTCCGCACCCTACCAGCTATTGTAGTGCGCCGGACCTGACCTTGGGGACAGCTTGCTCAAGGCCAATCCCAACGCGGCCACTGAAACTCTACCCCACCTACTCGCTGCCATGCGCTCCCTGACAGTAATTCCAGTTGCCCCTTGCGTGCTACGCACAGAGCTTCTCCAGCTAAGGCAAGAGCGAGACTGTCAAATCGCGCGTCCTGCACTTGTTTTAGGTCCCCTGTGTGAGAAAATTATTGCGTCATTATGGCGGGGAAACTCGTCACGTGATCTGAAAACTGAACTTCGCACGAGAGTCTGGGAACTGTGTTGTCGTTCGGAGTTGTGGAGTTGATCGAGTGTGTAGATTGAGTGTAGATCATCGAAATTTTACGTGAATTGATGTCGATGAATTTTTTAAGTGTAGAAGAGAGTACAGAATTTTAAAATATGAACATGTGAAGAAATATACTTTCAAGGTAGTGAAGAATTAAAGCTATTGACATGTGCAGAATATGATGCATTAATTATAGAAACCTATATCTTTCTAGATACTGGGAATATTTACAAAAAACGGAGTTAAAATAGGCACCATCATATCCGACGTCTGAATCAACAGCCGTATTTAATTACTTTCATCGACTAAAATAGGTGTTCGACACTCATAAGAAATTCCACGTTTGAAAGGGGCCTAACATGACATAAGTTTTTCGGTAAAAGAAATTCGTATCTCTCTTTGTAAATCCATTTAATCAATCGGCTTGTGCCGCGACTTAAGAATCAGCTGTAATAGTTGACTTTACTTTCTCTTTAACATGATTTGTATGGCACTAAACATGATTTGTATATCAAAAAGAGCGATCAATATTCATCCATCCATTTCAATAAAAGCAAATGGAATCACTCTCACTCGAACCGTGACTTCGTCGTATAAATATGCAGCACTGAAGGAAGGCGAAATATCTAATCCTTTTTGATCAAATTATTTTAAGGTTTAAACTCGAAACTTTGTGTAAAATAAAATTATAATTTACTTTTACCAGTATCACTTGAAATAATAATAGTAATAATAATAATAATAAAGCAAACTATAATTACCGTAAAAATCTCCCAGAATTCTTTGAGGCAATATTTCTTAAAAAGCTTTATAACTTTGACAATTTTATACCTAGAAGAATGTCAGACAACAACAAGATAACAGGAAAAACCGTTTGAATGCAAAGGTCCACGCAACGCGTAAATAAAACTGACTGGTTCCTCTTGCCGGACCTCTAATTAAAGACATGCTTTAGCCAGACGTCACTTGATGGGTAAAGTGAAACAAAACTGAATGCAAGGCTCGCAAGTCAACAAGATAACATTTGTCATAACATATCTTCCCATGTGACATCTAGGGTAATGACGTCATCAGTCATGTGACTTTTTTTTGTTGTGGTGGAGTTAAATTGTAGATTATAATAATAATAATAATAATAATAATAATAATAATAATAATAATAATAAAGCAAACTATAATTACCGAAAAAAATCTCCCAGAATCCTTTGAGGCAATATTTCTTAAAAAAGCTTTATAACTTTGAAAATTTTATACCTAGAAGAATGTCAGACAATATCAAGATAACAGGAAAAACCGTTTGAATGCAAAGGTCCACGCAACGCGTAAACAAAACTGACTGGTTCCTCTTGCCGGACCTCTAATTAAAGACATGCTTTAGCCAGACGTCACTTGATGGGTAAAGTGAAACAAAACTGAATGCAAGGCTCGCAAGTCAACAAGATAACATTTGTCATAACATATCTTCCCATGTGACATCTAGGGTAATGACATCATCAGTCATGTGACTTTTTTTTGTTGTGGTGGAGTTAAATTGTAGATAATAATAATAATAATAATAATAATAATAATAATAATAATAATAAAGTAAATCACAGTTATAATCTACACCTGAACAAAAAACTATCCTTTATTAATTAAAACGTTTTAAGTAAAGTCTACTCCGATAATATATTAACAAATTTTTAAAATGTTTAAAAAGGATTTCTTTTTATGTGCAAAACATGTACAGTTTAAATACTATAATATTCTCAACAATGTCACTCACCAAAATTAGGTCAACCGTATTTAGAAACCGTTAAAGAAAATAAAATTTAAAAGAGCGAAAATAAATATCCGCTATTATATTGCTCAAAGAAAAGTCAGCTAATGTGTCTTTGTTCTTCAACCTCTGACAAACATGTTTGCAGATCCAAAAATATTAATAGTTATAACTAGAGGTTCCATATTGGAAGTGAAGTGCTGCCCCTAGCTTGTTTTTGTCTATTTTGATGCATGTTTCAGATAAACAAAAACAAAGAACATAATGCAAACAACGAATTCCCAAGATTTTCGTAAATTGTCAACGAGCATTTAGAATTACAATGGAGCATACAATATGCCTCAATAAAAAAGTTAGCGGTACACTGTACTTTTAATTTCTAATATAAACACTGTACGCTGGTCTAAATGATGATTAAGATTGTATAAAGAATATAATACAAAATCACGTTCGGTTCTTGTGACAAAAGTCAAATACAAAACTTTTATGGGCAAAGAAAAGGTTTGAGTCATCTACCGGAGAGTGAATGACATAATTGTATAGTTTTCTGTAGTATTCTTTCGCTCTTTTAGGCAATTCGCTTGACTGTTTCATTCGGCGTCTCGTTGGGCAGAATTTAGTCTGTTCCACTCGCTGTTTTATTCCCCGTCCTCGGGCTAATTATAATTCAATCTATTCGCCTCGTAGCTCCATTCACCTTTTGAAGCAAGTAAAACCACCGATTAAAAAACAGTGAACTGTATTAGGTAGGTTATCTACTGCCGGAAAATGGTTCTGCAGTTGATTGTCGGATGGCGGGCCTTGGAACATAAATTATCTCCTTTTGACAAGGTGTCGTCGATTGTGTTCGCGACCCACAGCAGTGAAATGACATCGCTGCGAGACATATAATAAAAAGAACATTGAACTCCTCTCGATCCATCATTAAAACGTTTGCTACCTGATGAATACTTCCCGAAATACTTACTTCAACTTTAAACATCAACACAATGAACACAACGAATGTCAAAGAACGAGTTCGCGTATTCAAGTCTGTGAGCGCTAAGAAGCCCTATAACAGGTTTATCTCAATTGACTTTTTCAGACTTTCTCAGCACTCCCCAATTTTTGAAATTCATTATTATTGCTGCTGTCCTATGCCCCATAATAATAGCAAGAAAGTCATTTAGATACAATGAATTGTATGCAAAATATATTAAAGCATGCCGATTCTGACGACTAAGCGATGAACAAGAAAAGAAAATAATAAAACAAAAAAAAAATTTCAACAAATTTGCCCAAATAGAAAATGAATTCCCCGGAAATTGTTTTTGGAACTTTGTCCCCTTGAAGTGAATAACTTTGCAATCTATATTTTACTCATAAAGGTACGGTTGAGTTTGAGGTGTGGACAGTCTTACGTTTTCCATGACACGGTAGCTGTGAGCGATGACGTAAGGCTTTAGGAGCTCGGTACGCCTGCTGGGAGGGATCGGAAAAACGTGTTGTGTTCTTGTTAGCAAACGTTATGAGTGCGAACCTTGTGAATCTACGGAATCTGCAAAATCCGGTGTAAGGGACTTGTCAGAAATTAGCAGGGGGGGAGGGGGGTGGAAACAGAGGGAGGGTCACAACTTTTTGAGACTCCGAAAAGGGAGGGGTCATGAAAAATCTGCCGTTTAAAGGGGGAGGGTCATGCAAATATATGCCCATGATCATGTAGAGGTTCACCCACAGAAGAAAAAGGAAGTTCTTTATTTGATAAAAAAAAGGAAAAAAAAGAACAATGGAACATTATGGATATAGACTGTGAAGTACTATGGCAAGAATTAAACAAACATCTACTTTTCATTTATAACAATGCCATAGAGTCTTATTGCATTTTTATCCTGCATTTTTATTATGAATAATGGTATTAATGTTATTAGATTTTCGGCTATCCTTTTCATCACTGTCTTCAGCATTACCATCAATGCTGGTGTGAGCATCTTGATCATCATCATTTATGTCATGAGCATTGATACAATCACTTTCATCATCATGATACAATCACTTTCATCATCATCATGATTTCCATTTAAGTTAAAGCGTAGATATTGCTTGATAATCTCCTGTGATTCATTGGTGAACAATCCCTTCTCAAAGGCATTATTGGATAAACGGCCTTTGTGTTTTGAGGAGCCCACTTATTCCTTCATAATGAAGAGATAATGGACCAATAGGCTCTGTAACATAATGCCACTCTTGCTGAGGTGCAATGGTTTCAATAACTTTTTTGCAGTTTACTTCCATTCTTTTTGTCCTAGCTTTTTTTGCTTTCGTTTTATTTTGTTTTTGTTTCCTTTTTTTTTTCTTGTTGGCTTGGAATACTTTAAGAGCTTCTGGAACATTTAAGAGCCTGGAAAATTTTTCTTTCAATTCTATAAGGTGGGGAGGGTCATGATATTTTAGGCTAAGCTCAAGGGGAGGGTTAGCAAATTTCACGTCCATTGCTGGGATGGGTCACCTAATTTCCGAACCCAGATTTAAAATTCCCACCCCCCTCCCCCCCGGCTAATTTCTGACAAGTCCCTAATCTTAGAGAATTGGAGTGTTGTAACCTAAGAAACGAGCCTCAGACCTGGAATAAATACAGTTCAGTTCAAATTCGTCAACAGTAGCTTTTGAAGTGATCTCGAAGACAGAATCAAAATGGTTGGCAAGAACTCGGTGTTTTTCCAAAGTACAGAACAATAACTTATTAAAATACAAGAAAATCTATCTTTTACGCGTATCCTATTTACCGATAAATGCGCATCACTTCCTCTGATTATCACCTGCGTAATTATGCTAAAAAGGTTATTTTCGTCAGGCTTGGTAAATATTGTTGGATAAGACCCTTCACTAATTGGTCATATCCACCAAAGTGGAATTCATAGTAGGTGTATTGATATTTCAAGGGCTTTTGTTGATAAAGAGCCGTGATCAGCACTCAACTATGACTTAAAAGGGTTATTTTCCCTTTAGCCGGTAGGAGAAATGTTCTCGAGCTACCTTACATTTAAAAGGCGTAACTTGTAGAATAATCCTTATTTGCACAAGGAAAGGAGAATCTAAGCCATTTAGAAGGTTACTCCTAGGGACTCTACTTTTGGTTTTAAACTGCGATACATGTATGCTTTTGTGTTTCAAATGTGATTCGAAAGTCTCGAATATTGTCGGGAGTCAAAAAAGTTGTTCACTATATGCCAAGTGACTGGCCGCTGTTCAGAGACAAAAAGCCGGATGGCTAAATGAGAATTTTGGAAGAATCTTAGTTTACGAGTTTTTGATTTTTTGTTCGGTAGGGTTGGGTCTTTGAAAGACGTTAATGTCGATACAAACTAATTGAGCGTAAATTTCAATTTTTTTTAAAGCAGATATGAGGGAGTAGATAATACAAAAAGTTGCCACCCACTTTTTCAAAAATTTCTGGGAAATCATTCTCCGAACCCCTCTAGTCAATCGGGCCTTTGGCGTCTCAGATATTTTGCATCTTCAACAAAAATCGCGGCTACGGGCCTGGTGCCAGGTGCTACCATAAACTCAGATAAATATGTTAGATCCTTAGAAGGAAATGAAGGATGAATCTCCAAGGGACGATTTGCACGTTTCAACAGATTTTAAAGGGGTTATTTTTGAGGCGGTACTTAATAGGGTATAACATTCGACGTTACAACTACCTATTTATTATTTTTAGCTTAATCGTGCAGCGAAAATGAAATAAGGCGTAAGCTTGGGTTTGTCAAACACATTAAGCATTTGTGTTATTATATTTTCCCTTGTGGTAACGCTAGGTGTAACTGAAGACAATTCATTTGGGATTAACCTGTGAGTCTGTAAAATTACTGAAACAATCTAAATTTGTTCTTGACTTTCTCAACAATGATCTCGGGCGTTAGTGGGTGTTTTTCCACATTTACGAATTCAATGATAGCTTTGTTGTTTTGCATGCACTTTCGCTATTTATTACTTCCGCATAAGTTTAGCATAATTACTGCGTAGCTATTTTTTATGTCTTGGGGGAACTTTACTTCCGGGCTTATAGAGTAAGAAAACTGGTAAAACCATTTTTGGTAATTCTCACTACTCAAATAAGAAGTTGCCTATGTTAGGTAACTGCCTAGTCTCGTAGCTTATAAATTGAAGATTTTACCGTTTCTCGGTCAGTTGTGCGTACATGCAGCCATGGCTCTTTGGACTTTAATTACTATAGTGTCGGTTATGCACTATATACTTCCCAATGTAGTGGGACATATGACGTGCAGTACATTAGGTACCACAGCAGTTTTAGCAGGCTGTGAGTGCAATTTTCTTGGGGCCTGTGACACTAATGGACAAAAAAAAGTTGGCTTAAACATTAAGGACCACTTACCTAAGGGGCTTGAAATGTATGGATATGTGGAGAATGCTTTCAGTGTAAGAAATTTGGCTTATTTATGTGAAGAGAATACAGTGGCAATACTGTATGACTGTAACAGTCGAATACCACTGTTCTCAGCCATTGCGATTAACGGAAGGCAGCTGAATGGGGCGGACGGCAATCGGCCGAAAAAACAGTTTCGACTCAGCCGCAGGGTTTTATACAGAAAATTTCAACAATCCAATAGTGACTACTTAAGGGCGAAGAACCGGGAGATTTGTTACAAAAAAAGAAGCAAAACTAGAAAAATTATTGACAAACGCTGGTACAGAGGAATGGGCTCGACTTACGGACCTGCTTGTGGTACCAAAGTGGCAGTTCATAGGGGTCACATGATCGCGTCACAGTACGGCATAGGCAACCCAAGGAAGAAAATGGCAACCTTTGTTTACACTAACGTGGTTCCTCAGTTTGGAGATTTTAATTCCGGCCCGTGGCAAATTTATGAACAAAGGCTGATTGTCTGGGGAAAAACCAACTGTGCAATGAACGGTGAGGCTCGGAATGTTCAGTTGTTTATTGTGGTTGGCGCGATCCCCTCAACAGTTTTTGGCCCTCAACAAACGAGGTACTTTGGACGTGGTGGATTCAGCAATTACCAGGACAAAGACTTTCGTGTGAACGTACCTGAAGTGATGTGGACAGCTGCCTGCTGCACCTTTGAGTTTAGGGTTCGAAGAAACACTTGGCAAGCTGCCACCAAAAGTACGGCCTTCTGGAGAGAAAATGTCCCAGGAAAGTCCCCATGTGTTATAGAAGACGTAGGTACGTTGGAAAAAAACCTTAAGAATTGGGCAAAAAGGACTGATTTAAAGATAAATTTGTTTCCATATTCAAAAGAATGCAAAAAGTCCACCAGTTATATACCATTGTAATTGCATGTGCATTGCATGCGTACGTGTAAATGGGTCGAAACTAACCTTTTTGCATATTTCAGTGAAAGTTATGACAACAACAAAAACAATGTTTTATTTCCCTTATTGAGTTTTACAAGAGTGCACCGGCCCGCAGGTAGCTGGAGCTAACCTTAGCGGGCAAGTCAATTTACGTGTAGGAAAGAAGTAATTTTACA